AAACATCGAGCCTCTACTTCCAGCCGTGTCAGACAGCTGTAAATGCCTCTTTTATTAGTCAATATCACAGCCACATTACTGCGGCCATGGCCAGCTCAGGTCTCAGTGACAACCTCTCACACACACCTTTTCATCAGGGGCTGTGAAACCTGAGAAGGCCCTCCAGCAAACCTGTTGACACGGTGTATTATGGAGGTACACACACACACACACACACACACACACACACACACACACACACACACACACACACACACACACACACACACACACACACACACACACACACACACACACACACACACACACACACACACACACACCACACACACACACACACACCACACACACACACACACACACACACACACACACACACACACACACACACACACACACACACACACACACACACCACACACACACACACACCCACACACACACACACACACACACACACCACACACACACACACACACACACACACACACACACACACACACACACACACACACACACACACACACACACACACACACACACACACACACACAATTTCAAACAGACACAACGGATGAAGGGCACTGTAGTCTAAATTACAGTATTACAGTTACAGTCTCAGACAAAGTTTTTTTTCTTTCTTAGTAAGCCTTATTTTTGATTGATTAACACGAATATTTTAATACTTTAACATCAGTCTGAAATAAGTGTACTGATGGTTTTGCATGATGTCTTGTTCTGCTATTGTCAAAAGTCCATTGAGATAGCAAACTTGTTAATTCATTAATATTAAAAAGTGAATGTGAAAATACATATCTGTAAATGGTAGAATAATGAAGACCATAGAAGGCTAGAATGCAGATTTCCAAAAGAAAACGATCCATGTATTCCCACGGTTGTTTGGCCTGAACAACCTTACCTTACTTTACCTAAGGCCTTGTTAGGTAAGGTAAGGTAATGCTAAATGTAAACATAGCTTTTGTTTATGTGGAAGAAAACCCCGGGCACCTTTAAAGAGTGTTGTTTATAGTAACTGCAGCTGCTGCTACAACAATTGTGTTTTCCGTCTATTATTCTAATAAAGTAGAGAACTTCCTATACATTAGGTTGCCCACACATACTTGCATGACATATGACACTGCCATTTCCCAGTGAGGGTCCTATAGTGCTGTACAATAGTGTAGGTGTGGTCCTGTCAGATAACCAGACACACATAACCATACACACTTCCCAGCTGGCCTCAGGGGTCTCGTATTAGGCAGTGATAACCTCTGTCAGCCATTTGTCCCCTTCTAATCCATCTGCTCTATAGGCCTCTCTGCGCCCGGGACAAAAGAAGGAGGATCTGACAATAACTCACAACTGCAGTCTGCGGTCAAATCCAAGTTACAAGAAAGAAAAAGCCCCCTGGCCCTGCATGCAGAAATATAACTCTTAAGTTACAACTGATGAAAAGACCCCATACAAAAGGTGGTGAAAGAGAGTCAAATAGGACTGTGAATGTCTTTTTTTACATTAAATTAGTGACAAATCGATTAGACAGGAGGGTGTTATGATAGTGTTTTCCAATAGAAGACACAAAAAATAAAACCAATTTTGTAACAGGGTAGAAAAAAAGCCTATGGTTGTGGAAATTGTTTTACCTTTTAAGAAAACAGTTGCCTTTTTACACATTCAGCAGTCATGGATATTTCATGTTAATACATTAAGAGTTAAGTCTTTAAAGTGATTATGGATTTTATGTTCATGCCAAAGGTTCCTATACTGAGCCGCTTTGCTTATGCCTCTTTAACTTACAAAAAAAACAAAGTCACAGGTATTACTTTTGTGGAAGTATTTCGGAAAATTCAAATGCACTTACTTCTGCTTTAATCCCGATCATCTAGTGCATGAACATATTCCATATGAATGTTTTCACCATGCCTTCCTGCTATAACAACCACACATTCTCTACTTTTAAAACCTATCACTTATTAATCCTGTGGGAACATTTTAACTTGATCATGGCATGGCCTCTGTCTTCCTCCTCTGTGCTCTGACTGTAGAGAAACAAATCTTCCACTGTGATCTTATCAGCGCTTAAACAGACCGTCCTACAATGATGTCATCCAACCTGAGCGTACCTGAATACCTATGATCATGCACTGCAATGTTCATCCATCACCTTATCAACCTGTCCAAGGCCGTATTTTAAAATAGAGAATGATGTCACGATGACTTACACAAAATGACACAGAATGACACACATCATGCTAGCTAGCCTCTATGCTAGCTACAGTATAATTAGTTATAGCATCAACATGGTGTACCACATTTCTTTTAATATAAAGTGTACTTCTGCATGACGTTAAGTCCTCTAGAGTTTATCTCAAATACGTCACCCTGTAGTCTAACTTTATTACTCATTAAAGCTTTGGTAATAACGGGAGTGTTGGACTTTGGTCAGCTGAGAAGTATTTTGTTTGCAGCTCTAACTTACAAGCACCTTTTTTGGGGGGGGGCTAAAATATATCCTTATCAAGCGCTGTTATTCCTGTTAATTAAATCTTCCCTTTCCTCAATAACAACGCATACAACATTTGCTTGTAGTTGATCACATCAGTTGATTTAAATCCTGATCAAGCTGTTAGTGGTTTTTACAGAGTAGCATTACAAATCCTCCTTTTTTATCTGATTACAGTCTGAGTCAACCATTTTCCCGTTAAAAAAACACACTATTGTATTCCCCATCCCTTTGGATGATTCATTCAAAGCTATTTCCTTAAACCATTTATTTCCTTGAAACCAACAATGCCAGTGAAAGCCTCACATCATGCCGGTACAAAGGAAGAGGTGGAATGACTTCGATAACAGGAAAAAGCAAACATCACAGGTAAGAACAACAGAAAGTAATGGTTTAACTATGACACCTTCCTGCCACATGCTCGACCATTGTCTCACTGTGACACCTTGACTAGATCTCAAAGTGATGCCATACAGAGTGATAATGATTTAATTATAGCACCATTAGGACGTTAGATAAAGTCACATTTTTGATTAATTCACACATTTTAAGTGTGTATTCATTTAATGTTTGCATGCAGTTTGTAATGGCTGCTGAATTCACCTGTACGTATCTGGATCTCATCTCATTTTGGCTCACGTAGCCAAACCTGTTCGTTCATCCTTGCAGAGGTGGGCTGGGTGAAAGGTTACTAAAAGAATGTAAACATGCAAGTAAAACCCAAACACACTAAGCGTAATTTTCCACTGTTAAATGAGCGACCAGCACATGCCACTCCTAACCTCTAACCCCTAACTTATTGCTTCTTTTAAATCTATAATGCTCAACAATGACTTCACTGTTCAATCATATTTTATTTTGTTAAACTCCTTTTTTCTGCGGCAACACTCGATACTGTGGACACATTTTTCTCACCTTAGGGGCTGAAGGAAAGAGACACAGCCATACGTAAATGCAGAGAAAGAGTTCATGTTTCATCCCGCCAGGTACGTTTACATGCATGGCCCTTGGCTTTGTGACCCTACTCTATTTTATAACCTTACCCTTCTATTTTCTTCTTTTGTATCCGGCATCTTTTGTTCTTTAATCATCCTGCATACACACACACAACACCTGTACTCACACCATCATACACACAATCACCTGTATGCAGCTACCACTACATTTGTGTATTGCCACATGTTTGAATGTTTTGTCTTTGTGTATTGCATTAGATGAGTTCCAACAACCACCAGTGATGCATGACTCTCCCCGCAGAGTGACATTAGCTGAGTTTCGAATCAACAGGTGTTAATGTGGGCACCTGTGTGCAGAAGGTGGATGCATGTTGTTGGTTTCTTTGCCTCAGTGCACATGAATTGTCTGTGTCTTTGTGTTAATACACATGCATTACACCTACACGCACGCCTTCTCTGCACAAATGTCTCAATAAGGCGCTCTTAGCAGCCTTCAGGTCAGTCTGTGGGTGCAGCAGGGCATCAAGCAGCAGCACAGAGAGGCCAGTGTGCTCCTGCTGCTCCCACCATCTGACCAATGTACCGCATGAGTGCTTCAGTTTCAACCACAGCACAAAACACCAGTGTCTGGTTTCCCCCGAAGCAACACCGCCACAGCCACGGGCGCCTTTTGTCCCCACTTTAAATAAAACATAGGCCAGTCATTAGGTAGAAAGGCTCTCCTGTGCATAATTCAGGGCCAGGTATCAATTTAAGGCAAGGAGATAAGGTTAGGAAAAAACAATACTGTGTTGTTCTCACACTACTGTCAAACAACAGGCATTGCATGGGTAATGTGCAACATGGAAAATATGAAAACGGCAATTAAATGTGGTGACAACAGTGGTTTGGGTTGCTGTGTGTCTCTAGTCCACATTATGTATCCATTACAGGGCTGCCTGCAACTACAAGTCATGTGTAACATCAATCAATATGGTAATTGTTTTCTCAGAGAACAAGGTGAAGTTAAATTGCTTCTATCACTGGAACATTTAAATATAAGGTTTGATAGGATTAATTTAGTTAATTTAAATTGTATCCATTGTAAACTATTAGGATTATGTGAACGTGTATAGGGAAAACGCATATAAATACAATGAGGCAGCCAAACTACTGCACTAAACACGAAAATAAAGACATACAAAATTACAAAACGTTCATACAGGTCTACTTAGGCAGAAGTTGGAAATACAATTCAATATCAATTCTATGTTGAAAACCAATTTCCCAGTGGGATTATTAAATTATTTCTGATTTTCAAAAACCAATGACAGCATTCGTTTGCTCATGCATTGCTCAGTAAAAAGGACGGGTTTTTTTTTTTAACCGAGAAGCATCACAACTTTAAAACTACAGATACAAAGAGATGCTGAAAACAACATATTTTCATAAAGCTATATTTAGTAGAAGTAGTAAGCAACAGGTTGACAGTTGACAACCGAAACTGAACAGCCACGGCGATACTAGATGCACCTGCTGCTACCAAAGTCCCCTTTACGTACCTGCTTATTTCCAAACACTTGGCTGTTTTCAACTTGTACTCCTTGTTTCTTTTCGGGTGTGTTTTCACTTCTCAAGTGGATAACGGTGAGAAAAAACACATAAATTAACGGATTAATTTCACTTTTTTGTAGTAACGTGCTTCGTCGCCTGGGTAATGAGCTTTCCTTTTTCCTTCGCTCGCAGTTAGCTTACCTTATTCCCTGAAGAGAGGGAGAGAAGCGGATGAAAGGTAACAGAGGATAACGTTGACCAATCAGATGAAGCGGGAGGCGGGTCCTTTGGGAATACACGACACCCCATTGGTCCATCCGTGTTAATGGCGGAATAGTGAAAAGAGGCATTTCTCGGTATTGTTTTGATGTTCTTCAGTTCACTGGAAAGAGGCAGAAGCCAAAACTGAACAGTGCCAGTTTAACTGTTATACTGAACTCGCTGAAAGATACATTTAATAGGAGTAAAGGAATATTATAATACTTACAAATAATATAAGTAAAACTGACTAGAAGAACCCAAAATAAAATAAAAAGTGGACAAAACAAAGAGTCTACATAAGAGTTAATGTTCTCAGGGCAGCGCAATGTGGATTGGAAGGAGCTAATCATTTCTAAGAGGCTCTGCAATGCAAAGCTATATAAACTTCTTTGAATACCTTTGTTTCATTCATGCACAAAGATGTACTAAGCACCATCCATTGCTTATTGAAACAGGCAAACAAACGAAGCTAAAATGTTTGGATGACTCAGGTGGTTAGAAGTAATATTCTTTTAATCAGCAGGCGTTATTTCTTTTACACAGTTTAAATATATTTGATATATTTTATTTTAGTGCAAGGTCAAATTATGTTCCAATTACAAAGCGTATAGGCCTACATTAGATAGTCACATAGCATCAAATATACCAAAGTATTAACATCATTATTTTTCAAATCATAACTATTATAATATAATAATTTGGGGCGAAGCATTGTTTTAAGTCTCAAAAATATATAGATAACTAGGATCCAGGTTATTTTCAAATGACCATACGTTTTCTTCAGTTGGCAATGACTATTTATCCTCTGTAAACTGTATTGTACTGTACAGTCAGACTTTAAAGCAAGCCTTTGTTTATTGGAAAGTGCTCTTTTTTTGTTGAAATGTACAGGATAGCCATTTTTAAGATATGTAATCCAGGAAACTTTTCAAAATATAACAACTAAGACGGTCAAATACAATAGTCCCAGTGACTGAAATGAAAATCCAATGACACTTAGGCTGAAATAGATCAGACGACAGTAATGACAGTAGCAATTTATGACCACTTGGTGGCAATTTATTCTTCAAGAACTACTGTAAATCACAGGCCGGGCCTGTTGAGAGCCTGTTGTGTCTGTGTAGAGCAAAGTCATAGGAGTAGATCAAATAATGTGAACACTACAGTTAAAGGGGCTCCAGCTCAAACACTGCTACAAAGGTGGGTGAGAAAACTACAATCAGCACTACATATGTGACTAACTACTTCCATATCTAAGAGGGGATTATTAAAATTCTTATTTTATAACATTTAGTCACCTGCTGTAGTTACTTCGTAGGTTAAGTTAAGTAAACCAAAACCAAAGACTCCTTTATGAAATACAATGCAATAAGTGTATCCATGTAAAACAGATTTCTAAACTAAAAATGATATATATATATATATTTTGTTTTGGCCTCCAGTGGCACTATGGATCACATGAGGATAAGCAGCATGTTTTGCTGAGTAATCATTGCTTATGTTTGTTAGCAGAGAATTTTTAAGTTTTTTGTTCTGTAAATCATCTAAAAAATATCCAATGTCTAACTTGCTACCCCTTTCAGTTTGACCTTAAAATATATCAAAATATCACCCGTTGCAATGAATAATCTTGTACTAGAATAAACCATTTATGAATGCCTCAAGTGTTATTATGTTTTCGATAACAACCTTCAGCTGCTTAAATAAAATGAGTAACACTCCATTAAACATATCCATATATATTTTATTCTCAATACGGCAAAATACAAAGAATATTCAGGACAGACTCTCATTAGTCACAATTAATACTCACTTCACAAGAATGCTTTAAATTACATAACCTAAGTTTGAAGATCAAACTCATTGAGTACCTTTAATCATATTGCATCCATCATATATAGTATCTCTATCATCAGTTCTCTTAAAACTAATCCAATTTAGACTAATGTACATAGTGTATGCTGCTGGCCTCACTTTAGAGACGACTTTTTAGAAAAAAGGTGTTATACAACATACTGTATAAACTGCTACAACTGTTTTGACCTGTAGAGAAATACCTCTGTTTCAAAAGACATGTTGGACCAATTGTTCAAAAGGGACACATAGTAAATACATTGCTCTCGTGAGGAGGAAACAGACGTGGTTTTACACAACAGACTGTACACACCATCCATCCATCCATCCCATGAGATCAACAATATACACTTCATGAAAAGAACACACCTCCATATCAAATACAGAGAAGACAAAATATTCGCACTTGGATTTAGAGACATTAATGATTTTGTAGCGACCATGGTACTGGGAGACATTGAAGCAGAAGACAAAGAATACAAGAGCGGTAAGAAAAAAGGAGTGAGAAATCAATGTGATATACAGTGTTAAGAGACTCGGATGTACTCTGTAACAGCTTGGAAGAAGAAGTGAACAAAAAAGCCCAGAAGGAAAAAAAATGTGCATAAAGTATCTCACAAGATGTATTTACAGCATTTTTAATTTTCAATAAAAATGTCAACCTGTAGTAGAAATTCACCCTTAAAGAAATGTTATATTTACAATTTATACATTTGTATTTAAATAGAAACATGCAAGTGTTAACATCTTCCTACCGAATGTCAAAAAAACTCATCTTACCCTGGATTCTTTCAAGTTAGAATTAATATTAATTACTACTTACAAGGAAATCTCATCATGAACAACCCCGATACATTTACATCATCTTATCTCATAAAATGGTACTCCTTAAAATGGCAAAATAGAAAAAAATATTAAGCAAAGGGGCAGAAAAATAAATAAGTGTGAGTAGCAAACTGTTAAAAATTACTCTAATGCTAAATTTTGTACATTTGACTACAAGATAGTGTAGGGAACACAAGGCGCGGACCTGTACTTACAAAGTGTACCAGTGTATGAAGACATTTACTGGGCTGGCAAAACCCACAGAGTAATTCCTATGAGAAAAGTGGCCTCCAGCTTTAAGTACAAAATGGCTCAAGCCATCGGTGTTTGGTTATAAAACAGACCTATATACACATATATACTAAACCAGTAGACAAAATTGCAAAAGCTAAAGGCATTGGACACTTGAGTTCAATAGGTTTCTCACTGAGGCGGGAAAAAGAAAGAAGCTGGGGAAAAAAATCCCAAGCCAAAATATTTCATTTATTCCAAAGAAACAGATCCTTTTTTGTTGTTTTAAAAATCCTGCATAGATTAAAATCATACCTCGTCTGGCTTTCTCTTTTTCAAGTGCCAGAGGAAATAACAGTATCCCCTCCTACAATAAAGACCAGGGAGCCAGTGATAGATAAAAAAAAAAAAAATACAAAACATAACCCCAAAAGGTCAAACCTGAGCCAAATAGTACAATTACTAATATGTATTTTGTCTTGAGATGAAAAGGGTGATGGATGAAATGTCAATGCACCACATTTATGATTGAAAATGTAAGAAAAGTGCCAAAAAGTTAAGACTTCTGTTGCGTTCTTCTTGTCAAACTGATCTCATCATTAACCAAAATAAACCAATAATAGTTTTAATACTATTTGACCCAGGCTTGAACTTTTCCAGCATGTGTTAGAAGGAAGTGATCTACAAAATAAGCACAAAAAAAAGAGGACATTCCTTCATGTCATTGACCGTTACCAAACACCCAAGTGTCATAACAGCTTCATGAAAGAAAAAAACCCACCACTTTACCCTTGATGACAACCAGAAAATGTAAAACTAATAACAGAAATGTTCTGGATAGTTGGCATACAGTGTTACTCCGCCTAACTACTGGCTGACATGTTTCATATCCACCATCTTGTAATAAAAGTATGGATACAATTTAAATAGGAAAAATTACATTACAAATACTTTGCATCTCATAACCCTTGGTTTAACCCTGTTTTAAAAGAATGCATTTGAAAAGTTATACTTCTGCTTGGCCAGAGAAAAAAAAAAAACTGCTTGGTATATAAATAAAATCTTTATTGGCCGTTATAGTCCTTTTTTGAAATATATATAATGATAGATTTAAAAACTCTTTGTTCTATAAAAGCAACACTGATGAGTTTGCCTCTCTAAGGATTTCCTTTTATTGTGTCAGATTAGTGGTCACTCAGGCCTAGCTTTTATAAACGGCAATGTAAATAACTGCATTGTATATGTGGAAATGAACTTCAATACTTAAGACACTCCCTGCTGTTACTTAGAAAAATACACTCTGAGCAAACAAAGGGGATCAAAAACAGAATAACACTGTCTGGATGCGACTCTTCCGGGAGGATATTTCTCAATGAACAATGTAGCTATGAGTGAAGAAACCTTTTATAGTTAGTGACCTGTATTCTGGAGCTTCACAAGACAGCAAACCTCTTAGAGAGAACATTAAGGTGATATATTTTATTAAGGTCAAGAGTCTAAAAGCCCTTGCTAGCAGCCTCTAGAGGCCATGCTGCTTCTTGCACCAAACTGGAGTACAGTGGTTTGTAATAATTGACCAACATTTTCTAGCAGGGCTTAAAAGGAGTTTGTCATTCTGGAAAGATGACACTGTTAAAAATCCAATACACTGACCGATAATGAGAACATTTATAAATATGTGCATGTCAGAAGTATTAATCTGCTGTGCACAGTGGCCTTTCCTACAGTCCGGCCTTAAAACTTTCAGGCATTTTTCAAGATAAGCTCAGCGCATCTGAAGGAAAGATAAATTAAAATAGTGTAATGCTTCATTTGTGGCCAACATCCTCTTTGCTCTAAAATACATTAACAGGACTTGATTTTCAACTGAAAGTCTGCAATTAAAATCATAAATGTTGCCAGCTTCAACTGCAAAATGCTTAAAAATGCATAAAATGAGTTTAAAGGGAAAATAAAAACAATTGATTCAGATATGAGGGGTGTCTGCTTTCCTGTTGCTCACATACAAGGCACAAAAATGATAAAG